CATTAGCAGTACTATAAGGTTGGCTTGTGATCTGGAGTTGACCTCAAACGTTCATGTACAGTAATCATACCCGGGAACTGTTATTTTGGTCCCAGGACTATTTTAAAACAGCCCTTGGAACAGAATAAGAGATCCTGGGTACTGCTATCAGTGTCCTCGGTACCTTTTCAGGTTGTGGAGCTTGTATAGTCAGCTGGCATTCAGCGATTTATGTTTTTATCTGGAAGTCTGCTGTGCTGGGTGTGTGCAAGCGCATGAAAATGTCCGAGCCATACACACGGCCCTGAAGAGTGTAAGCAGCTCCTCTGATGTTCGCTATGCGATGTGCTCTGAGCGAATAAAGTCAAACAGGGTTTCCTGTGATATCACCGACTCGAGGAAGTTTTTCAAGTGGTTGATCAGGAATTACGAAGCGTTTGCTTTTTCAGATCTAGCTCTAGAAAGAATGGGTGGAGGCCACAGCTGTGGAGAGAACTTATAAAGGTCATCTGTCACTATTGAAATAACTGCGCTGCCATTCTCCATTCTCTTCTCAAAGCGCTGGTACTGGTTGATACTGGTGTACTGGTTTTTGATTGGGGGGTGGGAGAAGGGTTGCGACAGACCTTCACCATTTGTCTTGACTTCGGTCCTTAAAGTGAAATTTTCTATCTTATAGGCAATGTATAGAGAGGTTAATTGTCCTTTAAAGCTGAACTTCAGGCAAACTGTCCATTGTATTTCTGTCCATCCAGTCCTGAGACTTGCACAGCCTTGTCTTATCAGGGCAGAAGACCTGATTTATCTTTTTTCCCTACTACAGTTAAAGTTTTACTCCAGCTATAATAGTTGATGTATACTAACAGTGGTTCAGCTTGACCCATTGTAAGTGCAAGGATCTCCCTGCTTCTGCATTTATTTATATTGATCCCTGCTGCTTCTTGATTATTCCCCCACCTGTAATATAGGGAGTAGCTATGACCTGTGGAAGCAAAGCCCTGCCTCTACCAAGATGTGGACCTCATCACCGTGCAGAACACAGCATGCATCAGCTGCAGGAAGCCTCTTTGCCTTTTTTTGGGCACAGCTTCCACAGTACAGGTCCTCTTTAAAGCTGCCCTGTCTTCCTTGTTTGTAGCAACTGGCTTCTTTTTTTTCCAGAACAAATTGGTGAATATCCTTCTGAAGATTGTAAATGGAGGGAATAGTATCTCACTAGCCTGCTTTTGCTTGCTGTGTGCTGTAAGTCACAAAGTCGGAGCTCCACTTTAAGCCCTTGGATTTGTGGTCAGTGGCAGCAGTGCCTTTCCTCTTCGGTCCTCCCCGTCATACTATCTCTGGGTGTTCATCTTTTCAGGAAGGAAGCGCTGCTCATCTTGCACAAGTCCGGAAACGCTCATCGTGTGTCTATTTGTGACACTCCGATATTAGGCTGTAATTACAGGTGGCTGTGAATAGCGCAGTGTGTCCATGTACGTCAATGTGTCGGATCTTTCCGGCCCGCGGTGCATCCTGACTGTAACCCATTGTGATAAGTACAGGCTTGGCAGTCTGAAGGGAACCATCCTTGGCACAGGCTGCTGTGTTATCTTACCTGTAAACTGACAGCCCCATAGAGGAGGTTTTATTGTTGTGTAGAGGAAGAGACTTTGACCCAATGCAGACCTGGACTGGGGAGGAAACCTTACAAAGATGAACTCCAAACTGTTGGACAAATTAAACCATGACGTGGGTCCCCCTGCAAGGGATGAAAGTATGTGTGTGTATGTATATATACAGGGCTTGAAAAATTTGACGGTGTCTCACCAGTCAGTAAAAAATTCAGCATGACCGGACTATAGCCTTACAATTTATGTTAAAAATTTTTAACAGGGCTATCCCTGTACTGTAAGGGTTAAGTGCTAATTTTTGTCTAGGGAGCTAAAATAAAGTTATACTCGCCTGAACCACAATCTCGGCTGGCTCCTACACCGCTCCCTCCACTGCAGCCATGGCATGTCCCTCGGCGTCCTCACGCCCTATACACTGTCTATAGAATATGATGACTCTGGGACCTCAGACTGCTGGAGCGGAGGGGGAGTGATTTCAAGGGAGCAATCTAAGAGCAAGCCGGCTTGGAGGATTGGGTGAGCACAACTTTGTTTTTTAGCTCCCTAGGCAAAACGAGGACTTAAAGGAGAACTATGGGGTTTGGGCTTTTCCCCATAGTTCTCCAAAGGGTAACGGGAGGACACAAACTAGCGTCCTCCCGTCACCCTAGGCTCAGTATACCGTGAGCTATAGCTTGCGGTATACTGAGACGCCGCAGCTGAAGCGGATCGCGACAATTATGCCGGGATCCGCCCAGCTGCGTGACTGACAGCTGGCTCTGCCTATCTAGAGGCAGCTGTACCCGCCTCTCCCCCGTCCGTTCTGCCAGTCAGCGCTGGAGAATAGGAGCGGGGAGAGGGG